GAAGGGAGAAGAGAGGGGAGGGGTGGGGAGGGAAGGAGAGAGGGGAGGGGACGGGAAGGGAAGCAAAGAGGGAAGGGGAGAAGGAGAGGGGGAGGGAAGGGCATCTTTCTAGTTTAGATATAAGTGGAAAAGAAAGGGGTAAAGCTCAGGGAATTAAAAAAGAAAGGCCTTAATGACGCTGCTTATTGGTCGCTGTGGCTTGGAGTCACTTGATGGCATCTAACAGCAGCAGTGATGTTACTAGCATTCTGGATCAGCCTTGGTTACTTTGTAGCAAATAGAACAGGAGTTCCGTTAAGACGGTGAAATGTTTTGATAAGAGAAATTCTTCAATCGCTCATTGAAGCCCATTGCTGCCTCCAACCTCCCAGACGATAAGGAACCGAAGTCTTGCCATTTTACAAAGATGTGTGAGGGGATTCTTGATCTGATCAACCCAGGCAGACACTGTTGCTGGTCCAGATCCCATGACAGGCTGACGCTCTGAAGCGCGTGTCCCCGTGGCCAGGGCTCCCTGGTGGCTCGGGTCAGGAGTGCTACTTGAGCATCTGTTTAATAAGCCTCTCTGTCTTCAGCTGCCTCCCATTGCCTCGGCAACCACCACGCAGGAGCTGGGGCCGGAGCCGTCTGGGGCAGCAGGGGGAGCCAGAGCCATCAATGAAGCCGTGGATAGACTCGGCCTTTTGGGAAGCAGGTACTGAGCAAAGCTGACTTTAAAAAGCAAAACAGAGGAAGTCATTGTGATGCAACACAGCCCTGAGGATCTTCTTAACCACAGTTTTTCTTTAAATTTCCCATGCTCCTCCAGACCGCTGTAAGCCGTCCCTCTAGACAGCACCCTGCCTCACCCCTGCAACCCTAAAGTACACAGTTGACTTAATTTCAGCTGAGTCCCAACCTGTGTAAAGTTCCACTCTTCTTAAAGGTTTCCACTGGGGGACCCCACACAGGGTTGTGAGGTTGGCACAGCACCGGGCAGTGTTTCTTTTTATTGTACGTGGGGTCACTATGAATTGGAACTGACGTGATGGCGCCTAACAACAACAACAACCGCACCCAGCAGACAGAAGTGATCCTGTTCTAGCTGGCCAGTGGGGGTGAGGCATGGGGGATGGGGTGCAAAGCAGCTACACCAGCACCATGTCCTTTGGTCCCTTTTTTCTGTTAAAAGTTTGTCCAAATGCAGCATCGTGTCCATTGATACACAACATTCCCTGTCAGTTTTATTATCAAAAGAAAGGCCTCCTCCAGTCTTCAGGCAAAATTGGTGCTTCAGAAAGATGTGCCAGGTTGAGCCTGCAATTCCAAGCATGCCACGGCCACAGCCACAGTCCCAGGCTACCAGGCAGAGCCACAGCCACACTGCCAGGCTTCCAGGCAGAGCTGTGCACATTGTACAGTGTGCCAAGTTGCAGGGCCACGAGGCACAAGGGGCTGATCCAGGACTACATCAGCCCAAAGGAAGTGGAGACGTATTCTCTGCAGCAGCCAAGGCCAAACCATGGGCCTCCCAGCCTGTGTCTGCCCATGCCCAAATTTCCACAAATACTGAGTAAGCCAGAGGCAGACACAGACCAGAAACCATGGCTGTGGACCACCTTGGCCATAAATAAGAGCTCGCAACTTCCCCTGAATGTGAAAGGCCTGGAGAGTTTTTATAGGATGGGGTTTTATTTGCAGGGAGAGCACACATAACCAAATGCTTCTTTCTTCATCATCAAGATGCTTTGTGCATCGGGCTAGGGGTACGCAGCCCCAAACAGAACATGTGTCCTTTCGCAGAGGACCTGACCCACCCACTGGGTATGGAATGCTGCCTGTGTTCTCAGAAACAGGAGGCAGACAGCAGAGCTCTGCATGGGGGTTGGCCAACTTCATCTGTAAAACCAGAAAAACCAAACTCACTGCCATCAAGTTGATTCCGACTCATAGTGACCCCCATTGGGTTTCCAAGGCTGTAAATCTTTACGGAAGCAGACTCCCTCATCTTCCACGGAGCAGCTGGTGGGGTTGAACCACTGACCTTTTGGTTAGCAGCCAGATACCTTAACTGGTACACCACCAGAGCTCCTTTTTCTTCTATAAAGGGCATAGCAAATACGTTGCTATTGTTTTTGTCATTAGCTACCATTGAGTCAGCCCCAGGCTCATGGTAACCCCATGCACAGGGGAACAAAATGCTGCTCAGTGCTACACTACCCCCATCATCGATTCGGGGGGCAGACTACTGGCTGATTTTCACAAGTAGGTTGCCCAATTTTTCCTAGTCCCCCTTAGTCTGGACGTTCAACATCATAGCAACATGTAAACCTCCACTAGCAGACAGATAATGGCTATTCATGAGGTGCATTGGCCAGGAATGGCACCTGGGTCTCCATAGTGCATAAGGCATTTGGCTGCTGCTAACTAGAAGGTCAGTGGTTCAAACCCCCAGCCACTCCACAGGAGGTAGATGGAGCAATCTACTTTCCTAAAGATTTACAGCCTTGGAAACCCAATGGGGGTCACAGTAAGTCAGATTCAACTCAATGGCAGTGAGTTGGGTTTGGTTTTTGGTTTCTCCTATGTGGAAGGTGAAAATTTTCCCCTTGAGCTACCACTTCCAGTAAAAGTTAAGGCTTTGCTTTCAACAAAACAAAACCCGACATTCTTAGCTCACAGGCCTAACAAAAAACAGGCCACAGGCCAAACAAAAAACAGGCCACAGACCACATTTGACCTGCAGGCCATTGTTTGCTGACCCCTGCTCTAGCATCTCAGGGGTTCTTGTAGCCTAAGTAGATCTGCTGGCAGCCTCACCTCAACCAGGGTTTCTCTTACTTGATTTCATCACTAACTGTAGTTACTTATAAAGGGAGAAAAATGACATAGTGTTCCTATGAAGTGTCTGCAGGGTGCAGACTTTTTCTCAAACTGTTAACTTCTTTTTGAGGTACAAAAGTAAGTGCGGCAGCCTGGATGGGAATGTTCTGTTTTGTGGATCATTTTTTGCTACTTATTTACTAAAGCAAAATCTCATTTCAGGCAACAGCAGAATCTTCTGGAAGTCGTCCAGGCTGTCGAAACTGACTCTACCCACCTCAGCCAGCTGGATTCCCCATCCCAGGAGCAACTGGTAGACCTGGAGGTGAGAGCCTTGAATTATGGGGGTTTCCAAAGGCATTCAGTGTCCAGCCTGAGCAGCATGAGGTAGGAAGGGCCCTCAGAACAATTGTTGCTGTCCCGTGGGGATTGCTTTGATGGTGGTAACCTGGGCAGCTTTCTGCCTGAATCTCCAGCCCTCCGCCTGCCCTGCACAAAGCTGTACATGTGATAGAGCAGGAGAAGCAAAGAAACACTGATGTGGGGTGGGAGCTTCACCAGAGAGAGCAACCTTTCCACCCAGGAGGCACCATCAGTAGCGTGAAGCCCACACGCAAACGTCCCGTGTCACTGGTAATCAAAACAGGCAAATTAGACAAACCTTATTGTTGCATTTGAAATCTGAGTTAACAAATGGTTTTTAATGATAACATCTAGTACTGGCAACGTGACAGTAAAACGGTTATAGTCATACACCACTGGTGACAGTGTAATTTGGTGAAACTCTTATAAAGCAGAATGGCTGGACTTAGCAAGACTCACAATTTCTTATGTCTTCCATCTAAGTAATCCCACTTCCTTATCCTGAGGAAATAACTCAACAGATATAAAAAGCTGTAGGCACAAAGATATCTATGGCACCGTTATTGGAAGTAGGAAGAAAATGAAGAAGAAGAAGAAAAAAAATCCACAGAAATAACCTGAATATTTCATGATAATGGAGTTAATCAGGAAAGTATCAGCACAACGCAGTATAAGAGATGGAAATTATCTTTATGGAGATTTTGCAGATAGAAAATGTTAAGGACCTAAAGTTAACTGCAGAAGGTGCTGTTAATCTTCATTGAGCCCAGTGTGACTGCACTGATGATGTGCAGAGATATGCCAGGGAGCATGTTGGTGAGCTGGAGCATCCTGTGCAGACGGGGACAGGTTGTGCCACAGGACAGTGGGGGGTCTTTTCTTCTTTTGTGTTGAAGGGTGTGTGTCCAGCATATCCTTGTACTCCTTCCTGTACCCACGCCTTTCTTGTAATTATTTCGTACAGTGGTCACCAACTTTATGATTGGCCAATGGAGACCTTGTATGAAGTTGTCCCAAAGGCACGTGTAAAAAGCATATGGTTAACGATTAGTCTAGGGGATTAGTGAACCATGCATACCTCAGTCTATATGACCATGAGACCAGAAGAACTAGATGGTGCCCATCTACCACTGTCAGCCATTCAGAAAAAGATCAGTAGGTCCTGGAGAAACTGGAAGAACAATGTGGAACAAAACTCAAAATCATTGTAAAAAAGACCAGATTTACTGGTCTGATAGAGCCTGGTGAGAACCCCAAGACTATGGCCCCTAGTTAGCCTTCAGGTCTGGAATTGAACTCACTCCCATGGCTAACAGCCAAACAATAGACAAGCATATAGGGTGAACATTCACACCAGGTAGATACACTCCTTAGAACGATCAGTTATGGGAGAACAGAAGGGCAGTATTTGCACAGGGAGATAGATCAGGGGGCAGGAATGCATAGAAAAGGACACAGGGAAGAGCAAACTACAGGGAGGAAGTGGGAAGAGAGCACTTACGTTGTAGGGAATTACAGTCAATGTCATGAAACAAGGCATATGAACTTCTGTATGGAAAATGAATTTGCTCTGTAAACTGTCACCCAAATCATAATAAAAATTAAAGAAGAAGGTGGGAGGAAAAGCACATGGTTATAGAAATAGCCCTGGACCTAAACAAGAGATCCAGTTTGGAGCCTGGAGCCATCATCTTGAGGCTGTGTGACCTTAGGCAAGCCTCTGTGCAGTCTGGTCCTGGAGTCTGTGGTTCTCAAATAGGGTAAAGAACATATATCCATGGCCACTGTGAGGATTTAGCAGGAAAGGGCTGGGAGGGGGACAGCTCCTGGCTCATGGCAGGGAGGAATTGGTAACTATCATTTGAAAGTTTACCACCAGGAAAAGTCCAAGCTTTGTTCCTCTGCACAGAATAGTTGCTTTCTTAGTTGTGAAGATTCTGAGTGATGAGATTTCAGCCACATTAGAAAGAACCTGAATTAATTAAGACTTTCTACATTATTTAAAAAAAACCACCCACTGCCATGGAGTTGATTCCAACTCAGCAACCCCTATTGCGTTTCCAAAGCTGTGAATTTTTAGGAAGTAGATTGCCTTATCATCCTGTGGCAGAGCAGCTGGTGGGTTTAAACTTCCAAACTTGTGGTTAGCAGCCAAATGCCTTACCCACTACACCACCAGAGCCTCTACGTTTACAGGAGTTATAAAAAACAAAACCCAAACTCACTGCCGTTGAGTCTAACCCAACTCATTGCAACCCCTGCTTGGGTTTCCAAGGTGGTATCGCTACGGAAGTAGATTGCCCAACCTTCTTTCCGAGGAAAGAAGTCATATATAGGATTATAGTTATAGGAGTCATAAAATTCAGCAAAAACCTACCCAAAAAAGAGAATGTACAGATTCTTGTAACTGAAAATGCCACCCACTGTTGTTGTTGTTATGTGCCATCGAGTCGGACCCGACTCATAATGACCCCTCCTTGGGTTTCTGAGGAAGTATCACTATGGAAGTAGATTGCCCCATCTTCCTTTCGAGGAGTGGCTGTTGGGTTTGAACCGCCAGTCTTCTGGTTAGCAGTCAAGTAGGAGATGGCATATGATCAAGATCCAGTGGTGCTGAAGGAAGAAGTCGAAGCTGCACTGAAGGAATTGGTGAAAACAAGGCTCCAGGAATTGACCAAATACCCATTGAGATGTTTTGACAAATGGATGCCCTGCTGGAGGCACTCACTTGGCTATGCCAAAAGATTTGGAAGATAGCTACCTGGCCAACTGACTGGAAGAGATCCGTATTTGTATCCATTCCAAAGAAGGGTGATCCCAAAGAATGTGGAAATTATCATTATCATTAATATCACATACAAGTAAAATCTTTCTGAAGATAATTCAAAAACAGTTGCAGCAGTGTATTGACAGAGAGCTTCCAGAAATGCAAGCTGGCTCCAGAAGAGGACATGGAACGAGGGATACCATTGCTGATATCGGGTGGATGTTGGCTGAAAGCAAAGAATACCAGAAAGATGTTTACTTGTATTTTATTGACTATACAAAAGCATTCAATTGTGTGGATCATAACAAAATATAGGTAACATTGAGAAGAATGGGAATTCCAGAATACTTAATTATACTCATGAGGAACCTGTACATAGACCAGGAGGCTGTTGTTTGAACAGAACAAGAGGAGACTGCATGGTTTAAAATCAGGAGGGAGTGCATCAGGGTTGTATCCTTTCATACATGTATCCAATCTGTGCGCTGAGCAAATAATCCGAGAAGCTGGATTTTATGAAGAAGAATGTGGCATCAGGATTAGCGGAAGACTCATTAACAACCTGTGATACGCACCTGACACAACTTTGCTTGCTGAAAGGGAGGATGACTTGAAGCACTTATTGATGAAGACTGAAGACTACAGTCTATAGTATGGATTACACCTCGATATAAAGAAAACAAAAATCCTCACAACTGGACCAGTAAACAGCATCACAATAAATGAAGAAAAGACTGAAGTTGCTAAAGACTTCCTGTTACTTGGTTCTACAATCAATACCAATGGAAACAGCAGTCAAGACATCAGATGATGTATCGTATTGGGCAAATCTGCTGTAAAAGACCTCTTTCAAGTGCTGAAGAGCAAAGATGTCTCCTTGAAGACTAAGATGCACCTAACCAAACCATGGTATTTTCAGACGCCTCGTGTGCATGTGAGAACTGGACCATGAATAAGGAAGACCAAAGAGTTGATGCTTCTGAGTTGTGGTATTGGGGAAGAACACTAAAAGTACCATGGACTGCTAAAAGAACTAACAAATCTGTCCTGGAAGAATGGAGCTGGAATGCTCCTTGGAAGTGAGAATGGCCAGACTTCATCTCAGCTACCTTGGTCATGCTGTCAGAAGGGACCATTCCCTGGAGAAGGATGTCATGCTTGGTAAAGTGGAAGGTCAGAGAAAAAGGGGAAGGCTCTCAACAAGGTAGATTGGCACAGTGGCTGCAATAATGGGCTCAGGTATAACAAGGATCGTGAGGCCGGCACAGGACCGGGCACTATTTCGTTCTGTTGTATATAAGGTTGCTTTGATTCGGAGATGACTCAACGGCACCTAGTAACAGAAGTTAGGGCCAGGGGAGGCTGGATCCAGAAGCTCAACCTGCATCCTTCTGTTCTCTCCCCACAGCGACAGCTGCGTCCTGGGGCTCCCTTCTCCACTCCCCACCCTCCTGGGCCCAGTCCCCACTCTGCTCTCTCCTTGGGATCCCTAATAGCTGGATTGGTCCCAGCCTTGCCCTGCACACCTCATACCCAGTGTCAGGACAAAAGGAGTGGTTCCGCCCAGTCACCTCTGGGATGGGCATGCTTGCATTGATCCAAGCTGGACCACATGTCACTGAGCCACTGTCCCTGTGGCCTGCAGCACACAGCACACTGGTTGGCTTGGGCCAGTCAAGCTTCTCCTGGGGTCAATCTCCCGATACTTCATGGCTGTAAAAATAAGTGACTTCCCCAAAGGAAAATGAGGTGATGGTGAGAGAGGGGGCAGTGAGTGTCTGGGACCAGGAGCTTCCCAACCAGCGTTCATGCCCAGCCTCCAAGAGGGATCCTAAATCAGGCAATAGGAAACACAGGGGTAGACATCAAGCTGCAGCGGGACAAGTTGTGGCATTTCCTTATAGACCCCTCTGCGTCTTCGTTTAGGAACTCGCTGCAGGCAGGAGCTTACACATTCTACAGTGCCCTGGGCACGGTACCCAGAGCCCCTCCGCAGGGCAGCTGGCCTCCCCTCTGGCCCTGCATCCCCCAGCAGGAACAGCATGAGCCCTGCTGCTTCCTCAGCCCTTCACACCTTTCATCTGGCGGTGAGATGCTTCTCCCAGGCGCAATCTCATTAACTTCCCCAAACGCCGCCCCCATGTGAGCCAGGCCATTTAGATTTATCGCAGTCCTGCAAGCCTGGGACTCAGGCCCAGGGCATCGGAGGGTTTGGCCAGGACCCTACAGGTGGCAGTGGGGGGCCTGCGGAGGAAGCTGTGGGCTCCTGCAGGCGGAGCTAATAAAAACAGACCCTGTGTTCCTTCCGGGGCTCTGCGCTGACCTCCGTCCCTCCCTCCCCAGCCCCATCCACACTGCGTGGCAATCAGGCTCATCCAGACACACGTCTGCTGGCTATTAATTAAAAAAATAAGTAGGGAACAGTTGCTGTTCATTTGCCCACTCGCTGCTCGCAGAGCCATCGCAGATTACCAGCACTAATTAACGGAGGGCATGTGCACGCGGGGAAGGCACGGCTTCATGAGCGACTGATCCGTGACGACTGGTGCTGCAATCCCGGCCCAGAGGGGCCCCAGGAAGCCATTCTGCAGCGTTGCCGTTTATTGATGGCATTCACGCAGACGCTCAGGCCAGCCAGCCTGCCCAGGAAGGAGGCAGGCATTAAAACCAATGATGGAGAGTGTGGGAGGAAATGGACACTTAGGGAGTGCACACAGGCCAGGACTGGGGGCGGGGCCTTCTCAGCTTGATATCTCACTCACTCTCCCTGACAGCGTGGTCACAGGATGGTGTCATCTCTTTTCCCCAACCAGGAACAGGCTGAAGGGTATGAAGTGACTTGTCCAGGGTAGTGAGGGCTTTGCCAGTGCGCGGTTCAGCAGCAATCACGATGTGCCTCCAGGGTGTGAATGTGGGGTCGTGGGGCAGAGAAGAGCGTGTTCCGGCAGAATCCGACGCTTTGTCAACGTTTTCATTTCTTTGTGAACTCTTACGGAATGCTAACTGCCAGGGCACACAGGAACTGTGTTTTAAATGCTTTATGAATATGAACTCATTAATCTTCATAATGGGAGCCCCGGTAGCATAGTGCCTAAGGCACTTGACTGCTAACCAGAAGGCTGGTGGTTCAAACTCACCAGCCACTCCTCGGAAGGAAGGTTGGGCAATCTACTTCCACAGTGATACTGCCTCGGAAACCCAAGGAGGGGTCACTATGAGTCGGGTCAGACTCGATGGCACATAACAACAACAACGATCTTCATAAATAACCATATGACGTGGGTACTGTTATCCTCATTGTACAGAGGGGGAAACAGAGGCATGGAAAGGTTACATAACTAGGTGAAGGGCATATGTCAGGTGTCGAGCCAGATTCAAACTTGCTGTTTTCATTCTTTGACTTTCTTTCAGGATAAGTTGAGGACAAAAGCAGAACAGATGAAGGATGCCGTCTATGTGACCATGGAAATCCTGTCCAACTGGGGCAGCACAGCAGGGGTGGGACTCACAGAAGTCGAATTCTTTGACCTGAATGACACCAAGCTTTATGTGTCACCTCATGACGTGGACTTCCAGAATGCGGACACACCTGGGGACCTGGGCCTCCTTGTCAATCGGAACTTAGCTGTAAGTGGAGAGACACTTTGGTCAATTCTTTGCAGGTTTTTTGATACATATACTCTGTCAACAATGAGTTTGTGATAAGGGCGTAGGTGTAAGGGGCAGGGAGGATGATGTAATCTCCCACAATCATTCACTGGGGCCTGAGGAGAGGTGCCAGTAAAGTCCTGCCTTTCGCTGAAGCTCTTTCCCAGATCCCTGCCTTGTGGGTTATGGGGCAGAGGGTGGGTAAGGAGAAGCCAGTTCACTCCCTTTTATCTCCTTGGCAGTTTACTGCAGTCACCACCAAACATGGGGTCTGGGGGTGGTCATTAAGTCCAACACCCTTGTGTATTTTTTTTTTCTTATTCTTTTTTTAATTGTTTTGGGTGAAAGTTTACAAAGCAAATTTGTTTTCCATTCAACAGTTCATACCCATTTTGTTTCATGACATTGACTGCAATCCCCACAATGTAACAGCTCTCTTTCCACTTCCTCCCTGTGGTTACCTTTTCCCTGTGTCCTTCTTTCCTACATAGTCCAGCCCTCTGACCTTTCTCCCTGTGCAAATGCTGCCTTTCTGATCTCCCACGCTTGATGGCTCTAAGGAGTGTACCTACCTGATGTAATTGTTCATGTCATAGCCCGTCTCTTGTTTGGCTAAAAGTTAAGCCATGGGATTGAGTTCAATTCCAGGCCCAAAGGGTGACTAGGGGGTTTCACCAGTTGTCTTGGTTTTTTATATATTTTTGAGTTTTGTTCCACATTTTTCTCCCACTCTATCTAGGATCTCCAGTTTTGACCCCTTTCTGAGTGGTTGGCAGTGGTAGCTGCACACTGTCTAGCTCTGATCTCAGGGTCATGTAGGCTGAGGTTCCTATGGTTCGCTAGTCCCTTGGACTAATTGTTTCAATGCATCTTAGATTTTCTTCACCCTTCTTTGCTCCAACCAGTAGTTGCACCTTAGATGGCTGCTCACAAGCTTTTAAGACCCAGGTCACTACGTACCAAAGTAGGATGTGGAACAGCGTTTTTGTGGACTATTTTATGCCACTTGACCTTGATATCTCCCATGACTATGGTAGTAAACTGCAGGCTAGCGACTAACTCCCTCAAGGTGTTTGGCCATGGCTAAGAAGTTATCATAATTCATCCCCTGTTGGCTCTGTTATATATGTGGACATTCATATATCACATACAAATACATATACAGAAATAACATCTGCCAAACTTATGTATTCCCTTTTGCCTACCCATACCTGATCGTTTGACTGTCTGCCAGTCCAGAAGGTGGGTAGGGGTGGGGGATGGCCCAGCTCCCATCACCGGGAGGGTACGGGGTTCAGGGGAAACAAGGGAAATACTGTTCCTTTCTGGTCATCAGCCACTGGTGCACCAAAACCCTCCTCTTACACATTGGCATGGCCAACATCACAGAGCTAGAAAGTGTTGGCGCCCAAAGCCCACGCCACACTCCTTCAGGGTGCTGCTGCTCCTGGCATGGAGTCAGCATCCTAAAACTTTGGAAGTTGCTTTCCTGTAAATATCCAGCAGAGTTTTTTTTTTTTTTTTTAAAAAGGCACTGATACACTCCCTTTCTGTCAGTTGCAAGTGAACATAAGAAACTATGAGCAAAATGGAAACAGAGTAACCAATGGTGTCATTTTTGCTGTGATGAGCGTGCTTCGTAGAGCATCATTTATAATTATTGCTGTAAGGGACCCGAGAAACTGGGAACAGAGGATGCCTCTGAGAGGGAAAGGATGGATGGGGCTGGGATGACAGGAAGGCTTTCCATGAGGTGCTCTTCTGCACCCTTTAAACTCCCTGCCATGTGTGATCTGTTATGTACTGTGTTATTACCAAAAACAATTATTAATATTTTAAAAAACGTTGCAGATTAAAACAGCTGTTATGTGTACTTCCTGCCTTGAGCCAGGCACTGTGCTTCCTCCGAATCTGATTTATTCCTAAGAGTGCACAGGCTCAAGAAGCAGAAAGATGTGGGTTCAAAGCTTGCCACGTACAGCTTCATGACCATGAGCAGCGACTCACCTAATCTCTACTTCGGTGTCCTCATCTGTCAAACGGGGATAACAGTATTACTTACGTTGATGGGCTGCTGTGAGTGTTATATATAAATATAAAAGGCTTAGCACCATGTCTGGCTCTTCCTAAGGGTGGCAGAAGATCAGCTGATACTATCACCATGGTTACTATTATTGATAGTATTGAAACCACTAAGTAGGTATTGTTATGCTTTCTTCTTGTTTTAAAGCAGAGAAAACAAGGGAGGGAGCTTTGAAATCTCCAGTTCTGGAGGCCTAGATCTGGCCTTTACTCTGGGAATCTGAAAGGTAAAACCAAAAAAAACGAACTCACTGCCATTTAGTCAATTCTGATTCATAGCAACCCCCTTTGGGTTTCCAAGGCGGTAAATCTTTATGGAAATAGATTGCCCAGTCCTCCTTCCATGGAGTGCCTGGTGGGTTTGAACCTCCAACCTTCTGGAGCTCTGGTGGCATAGTGCCTAAGGCACTTGACTGCTAACCAGAAGGTTGGCAGTTCAAATCCACCAGCCACTCCACAGAAGGAAGACTAGGCAATCTACTTCCTAAAGATTTACTGCCTCAGAAACCCAAAGGGGGTCATTATGAGTTGGAATCGATGGCAGTGAGTTTGTTTGGTTTTTTTTGGGGTGGGGGGCGGTTTACCTTCCAGATTCTGACTCAAACCACATCATTGGCCCTCATCCTGTCTGCTCTAAGAGTCAGTTCTTCTGCCCTGTAAAGTGAGGCAATGGGGTATCCATTATGGTTCTTAGATGGCCAGCAACAGAAACTGAGTGTGATTCACTTTTATAATTTTTTTTTAAAAAAAAATGTATGGCAAGTCTTTTGAGTAGCTGGTATACTCACTGTCACCCAGGCTGGAAGAGGACGGGCTGAGGTTGGTCCTACGTAGCATTCCAGGTGGCTTATGCACACAGAGCTCCCAGGGCTTAGGTTTCTTTTTGGGTGGCAGGGTGTTTGCTGGTTGGTTAGTTGGCTTGTCCTCCTGTTACTGTGCTCTAGATGTCTAGTCCCAGGCGAAGGAGCTGATGGGTCAAGCTTGGGTCAGAGCCCCACCCTTTGGCAAGGAGGGCAGGGCATCTCCATGCAAGTTCCTCCAAGACTGCCCAGTAGGGCAGGAGGGAAATCTCCTTGAAGGAATTCAGGTGTTAAAGAGAAAGGCAGATGAGTATCGGACAGCCTATCCCTGTCCCCAGAGATGGACTAGATGGTGTCTGAGAGCCCATCGAGAGCTGAGCTCTGTGATCCGAACCTCAAAGAAGTGGTCCTGCAGGTAACGACTGTGTGCAAGCTCTAGCTGTGTAGGCCCTGCTCTGCTTCTGAGTCTATAGGCTGTGGCGTGGGCTGCTGCAGCGTGGACCGGCTTTCAGCCCTCAGCCCCTTGGTGTGGGAAGCAGTGGCACTTTGGAAGCCTGCTCTGCAGAACAGAACATCCAAGGGTGATAAAAAGCCTCATTGGTTTGATGGAGACCAATTCCGGTGATTACTCTCCCTCTGCCTCTGTTTAGCAGAGGCTGACAAGCTGTGCCACGTGGGAACAGTGAGAACTTTGGCCCATGGTTTGGGTGGGTTTATGGGTTTTTATTTTTTTGGCCCTGAGGTTGGGACATAGGGCAGCTGTCTCACCCTGGGCTGTGGGATGTCTGGGCCCAGCTGTGGATGGGCTGAACTCTGCCTGCTGCCCTGACATGGGGGCTCCCTAATAGTAGTCTTGTGAGCCAGGCCTGGAGCTACTGGGACCTGCTGCCTCTCGGAACCATCCATTCCACAGGCATTCATTGAAGCCCTGGTGCGCCAGCCAACTGGGGCCTTCTCCAATGACCCAATCTCCATCTCGTTTAACCCTCATGAGGACCTGCTGAACCTGGGGATGACTCATAGTTTATAAATGAGAAAACCAAGTCTCTGGAAAGTTAAAGTGATTTGCCTCAGGCTACATAGCTGTGGTGGGAGCTGACCTGAAGGAGCCTGGAAGAGGAGTCTGGGTGCAAAAGAGAAGTTGCTTCAATGGAGGCGAACTAGGGGCATACAAGAAGATGTAGGAGTCCCCCAGACTCAGTGCAAACCCTCCTCCCTTCACTGCCTACACTGTCTCCCTCGGTGGCCTCATCCAGACTCATGGCTTGAAGATGACTCCAAACTCATGCACCCAGCCCTGCCTGTGACTCTGGGTCTCTGACTTGAATGTAGATTCCTGCTTGACAGCTCACGTTGGATGTCTGAAAGCCATCGCAGACTTAAGAGATTGAAAACCTAAGTTTTGATTCTCCTTGTTCATGCCCACTTCACTTGCTCCCCCGCTATTCCTTACATCTGGAAGATGCTCAACATTATTACTCATTATGGAAATGCAAATCACCAAAACCATAAGCAGATACTATTTCACACCCACTAGGAGTGAAATAAAAATGAAAAAAGAAGCAGGGGGGATGGGTAAGGGAAGAACAACAGGTGTGGGTGAGGATGGGAAGATACTGAAACCCTCATACAATGCTGGTGGCAAATGCAAAATGGTGCAGCCACTGTGCAAACCAGTTGGGTAGTTCCTCAGAAAGTTAAACCTGGAGTTACCTATGACCCAGCAAATCCCAATCCTAGGCATCTACCCAAAGAAATGGAAGCATATGTCCACACAAAAACTTGCACACAGATGTCCACAGCATTGTTATTCATAGTAACTGAAAAGTGGCTGCAGTGCCAGGCAGCAGTGTCCACAGCTGATGAATGGATAGATAAAGGTGGTATCGTCATAAAGTGGAAGATTACTTGATGAAAGGAATGAAGTACTGCCAGTCTCCTCATGGGGAATAACTACCACCAGCTGCCCAGCCACTCAACCAGGCCCAGCCAAGTTGACACACAAACATAACCACCACAGTCCAGATGTATATACAGAAGGGATTGTGAGGCTGGCACAGGCCCGGGCAGTGTTTTGTTCCGTTGGACATAGGGTCACTGTGAGTTGGAGCTGACTTGATGGCACCTAACAACAACAGAGAGGCCCCAGGTAGCCTCCTCCAAGGGTAACATCCAATATAACTGTAGAACAGTATCAAAACCAGGAAGCTTTCCTTGGTACAATCTATAGACCTCATTCAGAGTTCACCAGGTTTTACATGAACTCACGTATGTGTGTTTGTGTGTATAGATCTCTGCGGTTTCATCATATGTCGATTCATGTAACCACCACCACATCAGGATGCAGGTCTGTTCCATCACCACTAAGAGACTCCTTAGTGCTGCACCTTTATATCCGTACCCCACCCCACACCCCGTCCCAAAGTCCCTGGCCACCCCTGATCTGTTCTCCATCTTGATTTTTTTTTTGGTCATTTCAATACTGTTATATAAATGGGACCACAGTATGTAACTTTGTGAGGGTGGCTTTTTTCATTCAACGTAGTGCCCTTGAGATCCATCCAGACTGTTGCTCGTATCAAGAGTCTTTTTCCTTTTTTGCTACCACCTATTTGCTGAATAAAGTTGGAGCTACTTCTGAGGGCAGTTGGGCATCCCCCTTGTGGGCAGAGGGATGTGTGTAGATTTTGTTGGAATAGAAAAACACGTTTGGTTTAGGAATTGGAAAGTTACTTCCTCAGGGAAACTTGCCTGACCATCCATTGGAAACAAGCCCCTTCTTTGGCCATTAGTAATTCTCGTATTTTCCTCATAGAAGTGATCTCTGCCTCGTATTTTTCGTGTGAATGTTGTGTGTCTGCCTCCCCTAGGGGCAGAGTTGGGACCCGGTGGGTCCTGTTCACCCACAAGCCTCCTGCCCCACAGGAGGGACTCAATCAGTGTTTGCAGTGACCCCCACATGCCCCCAGCCCCGACTTCTTCAGTGCACGCTGGCTGCTCTTCTGACAGTCAGTATGAAATCCCTTGATGGGGAATTTCTCTCTAGCCTCCAGGGCCCACTTTGCCTCCCATCCAGTGGTGGGGAGTCGAGGCCCCAGGAGCAGCCGTCAACTAGAGGCTCGTGGAGGTTGGTGGGTAAATAGCCCCCTTGTCTGTGGGAGGAATCACTCTGGGGCTTGTTCTTCCCCGGCTCCCAGAGTCCGCAGAGCTCCAGGTGCCCACAGAGGTAGCTGTGGGCACCTCACTGGCTGCCTCCCCTGCTCTATTTCACTTCTGCTTAGCTAGGTGTTTCCTTTGCTGTCTAAATAACTAGGTAGACGCCAGTCCTTGCCTCAGGGTCTGCTTCTGGGGGCATCTAAACTGAGACAGGTGTCTTAATGGATTAGAAATGTAAGTTCAAATCCGCACCCCACTACTTGGGCGTTGGGCAATGTTGGGCAAATCACACCCTTTACTGAGCTGGTTTTCCGTCTATCGCATGGGTGTCAGAGCAATATTCGCCTCCAAGATTGTGAAAGAAATGAGGAAAACCATAGCATGAAAGCACCCTCTTAACCTGCTCTCTTCCTTACTACTCGCCATGGGGAGGAAGCAGCAGGCACCCTCCCTACTGGCCTGGTACCTGCGGACTTACCCATCATGCCTTGGGTCAGCCCTCAAGGCTTCTGATCAGTCTTTCTCTCCAACACTGTCTGCGAAAAGGAAACATCAGAAGGCTCGGTGGCTAATGAGGCCCTGAGTTATCCGCACGTTAATGTTCTTTGACTTTGACCATCACTGTTCCCTCTTAGCCCTCCGTTATTCCTCCTGCTGACAGAAATGTGAAGGGAAATCAATTACAGTCCCCTTGCCCGTGTCTGAGAGTCAGGCTTCAGCCTCTCCCTTTGTCAGGCAGCCACAGTGACCCATTTCAGGCCCAGCTAAGCTAAGGAATGAGCCTCACCCGCTGGGTCTTGAGATAGGCTTTCTTGACCCCTCACAGCTGCCCAGAGCACTAAAAGTTCTTGCAATGCCTGAGAAACTTGCCAAAATAAGTCAGAACCCCTTCAACTCATCTCTCCCCCTGAACAAAAGCAACCTCCTCCCCCTGAAAGGCACCATTGTCGCCTGGAACAAGCCCCCTGTGTCCTCCCCCGCAGCTGGAGCCGGGGCCCCCCACCTCCTGGGGGCTGGCAGAGCCCTGATTCAGCCAGTCTCCTCCTTCCCTGGCTCTGTCAAGTGACACCACCTTCCTGGTGACAGGGGTCTGTGGAGACATCCTCCAACACAGGATGATGCTCCCTTTAGAACAAAGCGATAACTTGGACCAAACAGTGTCAGAGGTGCAGCAGCGGTCACCCACGGGCAGTTGGGACTTCTGTGGCTGCTCAGCTCTGATGCAGGGACCAGACTCAGATGCTTCTGAGGGTCCGGGGGGAACGTAAATGAAGAACGGAGTCATGTGGAGGAAGTGGCGGAAGAAGTGGTAGAGACTGTGTGCCCTGAGTGATGCTGGGCACAGCCACCATTCAGCTCCGGCCAGCGGCAGTCAGGCACCCCCTGTTGCCAAGGCTACCAAGTCTTCATGAAAAATACCGTAAAAGTTCGCAGAAATCTAGTTCTTGGTGGAAAATCTCCCCTTTTTTAAGTGTTGCCAATGAGTTTACCTTTTTTTATTATAGCAATACTTTATGACCCAAACAAAATACCTCAGCAGGCCAGGGGGCATTGACGGTGTCTTAAGTTTCAATGAGAGGACAGCTACTTTCATTGAAACGATAGAGAAGTAAATTTCATTTATCGATTTCATTCATTCACTCAGCAAAGATTCTTTGGTGTTTCCCATGTACTAAGGATTCTGGGATGAATTAGGCATGGTCACTTCCCCAAGGGAGCCCACAGGGATGGGAGAGTGACAGGCATGCAAACAGAAAGTCATGGGATGGGACACTGGGGTAAATGGAGGAGTGAGTAGTTGTGTCAGGGGAAGGGGTGAAGGGCTTCATCACGTTTTAGGGATGGCAGGAGGAGCCCTGAGCAGAGCCACCCTGTGCCAGGATTGAGGTCAAGCCCGTGGAGAAGTGTGGGAGCAGCTGGGAGTTTTGCTCAGAGGGGCAGGAGACGAGGGGACCAGGGCTGAGGAAAAACCCCTGACTGCGTTCTCCACTGCGTGCTGCCGTGACATGAAGTTTTGTTGGTGCCAATGAAAATGGTGGTCTGGCCTCCCTGTTCATGGCCCTCCGGTCTTCAGAGGCCTCAGCTGCTCCCTGGCAGGCGGCACACTGGGGTCTTGAGGCTTGGAAACCCTGAGAGGGATCAGAATCAATCCCAAGGCTCAGTGCCATCACCCCATCCCAACAAATGCCTGCGCCAGTTTCTTTCTTTCTTTTCTATTTTTAAATTTAAAAAATTCCGTACAGTTTCACAAAAGAAAATCAAAGGCTCTGTTTGCCAGGTTAATCAGATAGCGCCGTGGTGGTCCCTTTCCCCATCTCCTCTCTAGGCTCTCTCCCCACCCCCAGTGCACACTGCAAAGCTAATTAAGTTGATTAAAATAAAGCCCACTGTATTTTAAATTCAGGCTGGATGGTGCCTCAGAGACCCTCATGTGGAACCCGTGCGGAGCCAAGGGTCCATTCCCACTAATGAGTGCGGTCCGGGCGCAGTCAGGGCTGAAGCCCCACCTCGCTCATGTAGCCTCGGCCTGGCTTCCTGCCCCAAGCCCTCCTGGTTTTCATTAGCACAAGAGACACCATCATTTGACTTTGGGGAGAGGCAGCAATGTGCTAACGACATCCCTCTCTTGCTGGCGTTTCAGGGCAAGAAGGACCTCTCCCTGTGGACATGCCCCTTCCAGCCGCCACTGCAGCTCTTCTTTACTGTCCGCAACACACAACAGCTGCGTGACTTTGGGCTTGCCAAGATCAAAGTCTGGAATTACTGGACAGCTGACGGCGTAAGTAGCGGGCTCGCACTCCTCACTGGGCACTCGGTTGCTGGAAGCGTTTAGCAGTTTGGCAATAGCCTGATTCCTGAAGTTACAGATGGGTGCAGGAGGCCCTGATGCCCTACCTCCTGGGTGCATAAGTGCCCGCCTGCGGGAGCATTCATGCTGCACCCTTCAAAGCCACCAGGAGGCAGAGCCTCCGTCTCCTAAGGTTACACAAATGGCATCAGCCATCCTTTGGGGGAATGGGCAAAGTATGGACTGAGACTCACTGTCACTCTCAGCATGGCATATAATAGCGAGCATTTCTGGGGGCTGAGCTGTGACCCATTTAATCCCCACCCCAAGTCAAAGAGATAACTCATCTCATTATCCCTATTTAATGATAAGGAAAAGGAGACACAGAGAGGTTAAGTAACTTACCCAAGTCACCCAGCTCATAAGTGGTAGAGTGAGAATTTGAACCCATGCAATTTGACTCCAGGCCCATTAGCCAGTGCTTCTGTGGTAGTTCAGTTTGTGTGTCAGCTTGGCTGGGCCTAGTTGAGTGGCTGGGCAGCTGGTGGTAGTTATTCCCCATGATGAGACTGGCAATCAACTCCATGGTGGGATCTACCACAAGCAGCTGAGTCGCTGCCTTTGGGATATGGTCTGTTTCCTGTATTTAAGGAGAAGCTTTGAGAATGGTCTCTAGGCTTTGGCATGGTTGAACCCTGCATGTAGCCGTGTCATTGCTCAGCAGCTTGCTATGCTCTGCCAACCTTGGGACTTACAGTGGACTTAAGTTAATGGCCTGCCGTGTGGATTGGTAACATCGGGACTGTGCCTTTTGACTTGTCAACCTTGGGGCTTCTCAGCCTCAGCAGCCAACAGCTGTCCGAGTGAAGAAATGCCTCTGGATCCAGAGGGCCGGGAGCAGGAGGCAGAGCTGGACCCCAAGGTTGGGGGGCTTTCACCCAGCCCCTAGAGCCTGGCACTTTGAACTTGGACTTAAAACCTCCAAATTTTAAGAAGAAACTCCTGGTTGTTAAGGCCATCCCATTCGTGGTATATTCTTGTCAGAGCGGCCCTAGGGAACCAGAACAACTTCTTAAACTGTAACACCCAGATGACTCACCTGGAGTTCTGATTCAGCAGGCCTGGGCCCGGGATTCTGTGTGTGTCCCCGGCTCCCAGGAGATGCCGATGCTCCTGGTGTATGAATCCACTCTGAAGAGCAAGAGTCTTCAACCCTGTGCTGTTTGCCCCACTGGTTTCAAAATCCAACCCCCACCCCCTTTCTACCCTCACAGCTCCTGCCTCCACCCAGGCCTGCCTCCTCTCTTCCTTGGACTGCTTTTTCTGTATTAATTTGCGTTTGTCCATTTGTTCAGCATTTGTTAGTGAACACATGTAAGTGCCACCAGGCTTCACGGTACATTTTGGAGGTACTGATGTAAAAGACACAGTCCAGGCCCTGGAGGTGCTCCTGGCTTGAAAGCAGACAGTCAAGTCAACTTAGTTGTGTCAGGGGAAGGGGTGACAGGCTGTATCACGTTTTAGGGATGGCAGGAAGAGCCCTGAGCAGAGCCACCCTGTGCCAGGATTGAGGTCAAGCCCGTGGAGAAGTGTGGGAGCAGCTGGGAGTTTTGTTCAGAGGGGCAGGAGGACGAGGGGACTGGGGCTGAGGAAAAACCCCTGACTGCATTCTCCACTGCGTGCTGCCGTGACATGAAGTTTTGTTGGTGCCAATGCAGGGCAGTGGTAAAGGTGAACCCAGACTGCCAGGGCTCCAAACTCAGATGCCCCAAGGGCCCAGCAGGGCGCAAAATGAGTGAGGAAGGAGGACAGAACCCCTCAGCTTATCTTGTTGTTCCTCTTGATAGACACAAGGATGAAAATTGTTCTACTTTCAGTCTGCTATAAGGGAAGTAATGTGCAAGTGAGATGGTAACATGGGAGCTGATCCTCGGCCTGAAACTGTTGCAGGGACCCCAGGGAGTGGTGGGGACTGTGTCAGACTGGCAAGCGCAGGCCCCAGGCAAACACACAGTCACTTCTGAGTTTCAACTGCTGGTTGCCATGTAGCAGTACCAGCCAGTACTGCTAGATCATCTGCATTTTCCCAGGGAGCTGGAAGTCTGGATCTTGATATCACCATTCTTGGTTTGTAAATGTTCATCGCTAATTTACATTCGTTTGTAACTACCACACAGTTTCAAACCAAACTCATCTTTGAGCTGGAGCAACTCCTGGAGGAGGGGCGTGCCTCCAACTGGGAGAGTCAGAGACCGTTCTTGCAAAAGCACAGAGCTGAGCTGCGGTGCGCAGAGAGGGCAGCCAGAGCAGAGTCAGAGAGGGCAGCCAGAGCAGAGGGGAGCGCAGCCTCCTCACTGCTCTTCCTGTCTCTAGGCCCCACCTCCAGTCTGGCCTCCAGCAGCCACCAGGGGGCTCTGATCATGCATCTCGGCTGCCTCCATCCCTTGGAGGCTCTCCTTGACCCGAGGATCAAGGGCAGGCCCCTAGTCCCTGTGAGCCAGGTCCTGCCTCTCTCTCATCAATACCTGTCCCCTTGCTCACGCCACCCTCCACCAATACCAGCGCTCGTGGGCCTCTAACACCCTCCACATTCATTTCACCTTTGGTTCCTAATCCTTCCCATCTCACTCAACTCAAAATGTTCATCTCTGTCTTGTGTCAGGCATCCCTCTCCTGGAAGCCAGCCCTGACCCCACACTCTGGCACTTCTGGATCGCGAATATGTCTCATCCTGCCTTGCCCTGTCTCATTGAGACCTTCTCTCACAACACTGTGGACCCCTTGAGGGCAGGGCCTGAGCCCTCTCCACTACTGCCCTATCCAAAGTAGAAATGAATGGGTGTTGAATAAATAGGTCCATTTCCTCAGCAACTGTAAGCAGGTGCAGTATCCTTTTGTTATCGCTAGATGAGCAGTGAGGGTAAGAGAGGTTGACTTGCTTGCCCAGTTCATGTAGCCGGTTACAGGCAGGGCTGGGCATCAAGTCCTGGATCATCAGTACTTCCTCCTCCTTCCCACCCTCCCTTCCTGTACTTCTTCCTGTTCTTTCCCCCAGCCACCCACCCAGCGACCCACCTACCTAATAAACAGGGATTGAATGCCTGTCATCTGGAAGCTAACACAACAGAGACTGTCCTGGCTGGCTCCGTTCAAAAGCACGATGCTGCCCTTGAGAAATATCAGGTGGCTTCTTCTGTTTTCTGTTTTGTTTGTTTGGTTGGTTGGTTGGTTGTTAAGCAAATGGCTCACCTTTAAATTTGAAAAAGGTGCTGTGGACATGTCAATGTCCCCATCACCATCTGCTGGCCCTGGCCCTGGGTGGGCAAAGGGACTGTCCTCCAGGCCAGGCCAGGGCTGCAGCACAGCCAGAGTATCTTGGGCTGTGCCCACCCTTTCTTGCCCTCCCATTTGCAAGTCTTGTTTGGTACTTCTCAGCTGGTGGTCCTCAGCATAGCCTTCTAGAATGGGTAAGGAAAGAATGCTGGCTGGCTAAGCCACCCTGTATATGTCTCGGGCCTAGAAAAGTGCATTTTAAGTGCTGGATTACAGAGAAGATAAGCACCATCCCTTTTGGAAGTGACCCACCTTTCTTCTTAACCTACACTCAGCCTCCCCTGTGTGCACAGTATAAAGATGAGGAGAAGGGTCTTAAGAATCCCACGAGAACACAAGGGTATTGTTGCAAGGCGCTGTGGGCCGCAGGGATTACGGGCTCTAGGGGTTTCTACAAATGGACCAGAATGGAGGACTGCTGTCCCTGACAGGGCCCAGCTTATGTAATGTACACCCATCTGTTGCCAGAATGTACTGGGGACGGAAAAGCACAAACAATTGCAGCTGCAGGTTGGTTTGATTTCATACTCTCTGGAGAATGCTATTACTGTGTGTTTTAGAGGAGATAAAACGAGAGTTTATGGGAAATACAGCTCGGCCTGGGAGACATGGCTCGTTCCTCCAGTGTTTTGTGTATGGGAATCCAAGGAAGAAAAGTTAAATGTGGGAGCTAATCCAACCAAGTCTTTTTCAGAACATAAGAAAAGAAGCTGCTAGGAGAAGAGGAGTCTTTTTTATTGGTAAATGTGCTGCCTGTTACATCCTCAGCTGGTGTTTATGGGCTCCTCTTCCCTCACTAGGTGATATGGTGAGTGTGAACTGGCCCAGAGCAGAGGGACTTCAGATGCAAAGTAAGGGCATGGAGGCCGTAATCAGTCCATGGCAGGTGCGCAGAAGGCGGCACATGGACATGAGTGTTGGTTACAGCTGCCGTTGAGTGAATGCCATATGCCCCCGGCATGGGGGAGGCCCTCAATGGGCCCTCGGTGATTATTTGATGCATGACCTCCCTTAATTCCCCCCAGCAGCCCTGCAGGGTAGAGGGTGTTTACTCCCCATCTTGTGGATGAGGGAGCCGGGTCTTGGCACAGTGAGATCCTAGTTCCCAGTGCTGATTGGAAGCGGAGGCTTGGCCTGCCGTCTCGAGAAGGATCTGAAAGCTGCTCTGGTTCATCAGGAAAGGGTGCCGGGGTTGATGTGGTCATCAGCCATGGGCTCAGGAGAAGGGCGTGATGATATTTGGTATTCCCAGATTAAACGAGGAACTCTGGTGGCGTAGTGCCTAAGGCATTTGACTGCTAACCCGAAGGCTGGCAGTTCAAACCCACCCACCACTCCCTGGAAGGAAGGTTGGGCAATGTACTTCCGTAGAGATACCACCTCAGAAACCCAAGGAGGGGGTCTCTGTGAGTCAAAATTGACTTGACGGCAGTGAGTTTGGTTTTGGTTTTTTAGATTAGAGTCATCCAGCTAATGGGCTGTAGGAGGCAGAGCTGGGGAGGGCACACGAGATCTGTCAGATTCCTCTAGACTTTCACGCTACCGCTGCCCTGCGGTGATGTCCCATGTCTGTGGCGAGAAAGGGACCAGGGTCTCCTTCCTGTGGGATGTGGGAATTCTCTGGGGCTGCTGAAACCCGTAGTTTTCAGTGGACTCCC